AGAGAGAGAGAGAGAGAGAGAGAGAGAGAGAGAGAGAGAGAGAGAGAGAGAAAACAAACAGAGGAGTGAGGGAGGACAGACAGAGGGGGTAAGATATTGAATAATGAATTAATGATCTCTGGAAACTATCTAAACCAAACGAACCTGGACAAATTGATGAGGAATGATGTGCCGAAAGGATGTTTTTGTCGGAAACAGAACTTGTTTGTGGTTGGAGGCGCATTAATAGTGACGTTGTAATGAACTCTCTTCTCAGAAGTGCTAAAAAGTGCACGACGAATAAAATACGGAGTACATTAATGATTAATGCTGAATGCCGTTCAGTGCGTAGACTGTTGAAATACAACAGCCGCAAAGGGTAAAAAAAATCACCAAACTAAAAGTTAATGTATAAAAGCTAATTCTAAATCCTTTGCTTTCACAAGATCCCTAATATTTTTTCGATATCTTTTTGTACCGTTCAGTGCTAAACACAAACTGGTCCCACAGATATTATCGGGGTCCTAACAGTAGAATAGAGAGGGACCTATTGTCACAGAGAGAGTCGTGATGAGAAAATTCACTGACAAAAAGAAATAAGTACTGGAGGTTACGATAATGGAGGACAGACAGACAGACAGACAGACAGACAGACAGACAGACAGACAGACAGACAGACAGACAGACAGACAGCTCAGCCATTTTTTTGGTTTAAAACTGTTGCTAATCGCTATCACCACCCGCATGAAAATATACCACGTCTCTCTGCCTACTTCAATGAGCAGAAAGCGTACAGTCAAAAGGTATGTCCGTGACAGACAACATATTATCTAAATCTACAAATCTGTATGCATGGGGAAAATGATTTTTTACGAGTATCCCTTCTCAAAATTCTTCATTAATATCCTCCTCTCCCCCCACTAAAACAATCATAATCCTGCACTTAATACGCGATTAATGATAATGATCCCGGGTGAATTTGGCAGCATGGTACACATGTGGATAAGACGTTGTATCTGGAAAACTCAATAAAACTTGGTTACTTGATTACTTGATCCTGGGAACAACATCATAGCACTCTGGGCACTGCCATGCCCATGTGTGCGCGCGCGCGCGCGCGTGCGCGTGTGTGTGTGTGTGTGTGTTTGTGTGTGTGTTTGTGTGTGTGTGTGTGTGTGTGTGTATGTGTGTGTGTGTGTGTGTGTGTGTGTGCGTGTGTGTGTGTACACGTGGTGAAACACCAAACCAATGTGCCAGAATCTGGACAATAAAGATGTATCTTATCTTATTTTATTTTATCTTATGCGTGCTCCGCTCCCGGCTCCAATACCCACACCAGAGTCCACCTGCTGATTGCTCCGGTGTTCATTTGGTTATAGCCCGTCTTTCCATCCCCTGCACCATGCTGGTTCTGCCACTTCATCTGAAGACGCCCAGTTCTTCAAGTCGTATGATTGGCGCATAGTCATGCTCAATCTCCTCATCTTCAAGTGTGGTGGCAAGGGCCTTCACGACATGATTTTTGTCCATTTTAATGTCAGTATTGCCAAATGCATTGGTCGCCAGTTTGTCTGCTTCTTCATCTCCCACCACGCCCGTATGGCATGGTGCATAGATCAATGTTATTTTCCTCAGTCTGTTTTCTTCAATGCTTTGCAGCCATTCTCTTCTCAGCATCCACTTATTGACTGTCTGCAATATGTTTTAAGAGTCAGTGACAATGACAGCATGTTTAGCAGAGCGCAAGCTCTCATTCAGCCATTCAAATGCTTTTGTCACTGCCTCTACCTCCATTCTTGTGCTTAAAGTCGTATTGCTGTATGCACCAGATGACTTTTTAAATTTTGCAGCCATCTTAATGTACAACAAAGCCCCAACCACTTTTCACCCCACGTTTCACAGAGCCATCAGTGTATATTACTGGATCCAAGGGCCTGGAGTTTTCCTCGGCAATTTGTCTTACTTCCAACTCTGCTGTTCCTGCCACCTCCAGTACATCTCCATTCTTTACACCAATGATGACTCTTGTCAAATAGTGTGCAGCCTCTTGTGCAACTTGAATCCACTCACTGCCAATAGTTATATCATATAACGTACACACCTTCTTTATAGACTTTTCTGCCTGTGTCATCCAAGATTGACATCTTTTTTTTATTCAAATCCCCCTGCCCTGCTTGATCACTGGGTGAAGTGGATGGCCTTCCATTTCCATAACTTTTAGGTATATCTTAGCCTGAGCTAATTTTGTGTCTTACTTGCATACTGGAGAGTCCAAGTATGTGTCTTACACAAACAATTGGAGTGTCTAATGATGCAGCTTGTGGTACTGTCTGTGAATGATTATGGACTGGGCTTACTCACTCTATCTGTGACAATTGGTCCCTGTTAGATTTTTCACCAATTTTTCATATTTATCCACTATTCTTCTTCAACGTTGTTAAACTTTCCGTATCCCTTCCCTCTCCCATAATCCAAGAAGACTAAACAAAACAAAAGCAAAATCAAACACAATTTAAAAAAAATATAGGCATACCCTCCCCCCCCCCTCCCCACGCAGACAACAATAAATAAAGCAAATACGACAACAACAATGGTTGCACAAAAACTCACTTCTCCTGCTCGCCTATCTGGGTCTCTTTAGTCTGTTCCTAGTACTCCTGTCACACACACGGCCTGCGGATGTCTGGAGCGTGTTATGTTCTTGCCCCTGATTGGCCGAGCCTGGAGCGGAACCAGGGGGTTTGTGGCGGGTGTGAACCCGGGCCGCTTGGCGTCCTATAGACTGCATGGGAAGATAGACGTAAATGGCTTACTTTTGTTTGTTTCGATTTAGTTATAGTAAAAGCTGCGCGGCCCTTGCAACACAATAAGGTAATTTAAGAGCCGAAGATGAGAGGTTTTGCAAAAGAATAACAAATACAACGTAAAAAGGAGAGGAGAACAGGACGATATATGTTTGATAGGAAAGAAGAAGCAAACCACACAGGAGTACCCGCCAATCACCCGCCATTTGTTTATATAAGTTGTTAATTGAAATGTTTTGAAATGTTGTCATGCTTTGAACAGGATTGAAGAGCACCCGGGCTGTACGGGAGTTTGGGGGGGGGGGGGAGTATGGAAATGTTCAGCATTACTATCACTTTTATAATGAAGAGGCGGATTTGAAAACTGTAGGAACTCCAAAACTCATATAAAGGAACATTGAAACTGTGACACAAATTAACTGACGTGAAAAAACTGGCAGGAGACACTCGTGCTGACCTTGAGGTATCGCCTGTCGCAAGCGTAGCTCACCCAGCTGGGCACATACAGGACCAGCAACAGCCACAGGCCGGCGTAGAAGAAGATGGAGATGAGTTCGTGGCATAGCATGACACAGCCGCCAGCCGCCCCAATCTACGTTACAGCCAGGCCTGGCCCTCGCTTGGTCACCCTACGTCCGCTGCGGTCACTCACACCAGCTCTCAGACCGGCACCTTTGGGGGAGGGAGTGAAGAAGTTTAGGGAAGATAATTAGAACCAAGTGTATTATTGTACTTTACGCCCTCATTACATAGACATAATCTCTATGAATTTTGAGGTGGCCTGCACGATCTTGAGTGCCATTCATAACTGCGTCCGATACAGCGCCCAGGCAGAAAACGGAGTCACTCAATAAAAAAAAGACCCAACAGTTTCAGAACGCTACAGGAGAACCACTGTTAGTGTTAGGATAGGGCTTTAGGGGGTGGAGGGGTGGTTCTAAATACGTAGTTATTGGTTTCGGTTAATATCAGGTGCCTGCTTTTGTCATCTGCGTCTAGTGTTGGTTATTTTTTAAAATAAACTCAGCCCCAACTGCGTAGACAAGGGATTCGTAAGATGTTCACAGTGGCCACTTCAAGTAATCGATCCAGTCACGTGGTGTGGCTGGAAGGACTCAGAAACAAAATGACCAGTGTCATTCCACGAACGCCTAAATGATTTTTTTAAAAATGAGAAAATAAAAATAAAAAGAGAGCCACCAAATCAGAACCATGATCAAGGCACTAGCTATTCTCAAGTTAAAAGCCTTTTTAAAAGAAAAAAAACAACGAAAGGAAACGAAACTATACTGAGAGACGTCCCTTGCTGAATTCATTAGAATAACAGTTTTAGCTGGAAACCCACAGACATTGATTTGGGCAATTGCAGAATGAAGAGTCGAATGAAATAATGCACTGATGGTCGTCTTCTTTTTCAGATTAGTTTAACTACACCTAGTCTAGCGCCACTGACTACTGACGAGACCAAGGACTGCACCCAAGCATAACAATCATCACAAGAGATTCAGGAAGGTCCAAGGTTTTTAAAACATTTATAGTAAATATTGTTGCGTACGTGGTGTTCATTAGCTGTTGTCGTTTGATAATAAGAATATTATTATCTATTGCTATCTTCCAGTATAGCCATACCTCAAAGTATGTCCTTAGAAGTGCCGGATCTGGTGGCATCCCATGAATGTAAGGACTCCAAATCGCTGCACTTCCGCATGGTTCAGGAGCGGAATGCTGACAAAGGGCGAAACACGGCGAGATAGCTGTGGTGCTTATAGGTGCAAGTTCATCGTCATGCGCACCATGACAACGGGGGCAAGAAAGGAGAGACGCTTTGTTTGGATAAAGTCTTGCGTGTACTAATACCTTTATGACAAAGTTTATCTAGCTACGTTGAAGGGAAAGAATTCTCCTTAGGCCTACATCTGCGGTCCAGCAAATCAATTCGGTGACATCTATTTTACTAAAGAGCAGACGTGAGCAGAATTCAAGCTTATCAAGTCATCATGCTGGAAGGTCTTCATGCGTCTTACTTACATCCAAACTTCCCGAACTTTCTGTTCGGAGTCTTCTGCCTTGGAATGTACAGCTTTGTTAGTTCTTGGCCCAAGTAAGTGGAGATTTAAGTCGACGTATACAATATACTGGAGCTGTCAAATGTGCTATACTCTAAAAAAGGTAGCTCGTCTAAATCTATATCTAGTCGTCAAATATACCAAAATGTAAGTCATAATTGGATTCTATAAATGCACCAACTCTTGTATTGTTTGCTCAGTGGACCTAACTGTCACGGTAAGTGCCAGCCCTCTGCGGTACTCCTCCCCAATATAATTTGTTAAACAAAAGTGAAATAGATGAAATAAGGCTTACAATGATTTGTTGCTTCTGCTATAGATATCTATATTCTACTGGTTATATTAGGAGTCTCAATATAATTGACAGTATTTTTTATTGACATGCAATTGCATCTTTTAACTATCTTGAGTGTTGTAGACAGGCTTCAGACTTCTGTCTTTCCTGTAACGTGCCTGACAAGCTTAACATAATCTATGACAAAAAGTATATTTGACTTGAAAGTTCTTGCCTCTTCGCTTTACACGTGATAGACGTTAGTTCAAGTCCCACGTCAGAAGATATTAAATGTTTTGATCCAATATCCCTGCTTTTCAACGGTGGTGCTGTATCCAATTTAGTCTTGGGCTAACCTGAAAGATAGAGTCGAAGCAACTAGCTTCCTAAATAAAGCAAACTCTGCTTGGGAGTAGAAAACTTTCAAAATTAGTTCTGTCCTCTTCCAACGATGCATTATTATTTTAATGAAACGTCCTTTGGAGTTTTCCCATTAACTGTAGCATTTCTCATATGGGCAGTGATGTTACATACCTATGTAGCAAGAACTCTGCGTTAGCCATTCAACGCAGAAGCGATGTGGTGTCGGTGGTCTAGTTGTCAGGCTCTCGAATTTTCAATCATAAGGTTGTTGGTTCGAATCCCATTAGGGACCCTACATTGCGTCCGTAGGAAAGCAACTTTACTAGAATTTTCCTTCATTCATTTAGATGGAAACGGGTACTCAGCTGTAGTCGAAATATATTACCGGTTTGAGTGTTATCGCATGTGTAATACTCTTTCTGCCTCAATATCGTTCTCTCTCTTATTCTCTCTCTCTCTCTCTCTCTCTCTCTCTCTCTCTCTCTCTCTCTCTCTCTCTCTCTCTCTCTCTCT